CTTCCTCATGAAGATGGACCCCCCCACCGCTTCCGCCGACTCACCCGCATCCTCGAGCGACGGCATGAGACAGGGGGAATGATGGAGAAAGGGGGGGATAACCCTCCTCCCTCTCACCTTTCTTCTTCCTTTCCCTACTTGTCATCCCCTCCTTTTCCCTTTCGCCTCCTCCTCCACCCCCCCTCCACTACCTCCCCTTCCTGGAACACTCAGTTCTAGATCGGAGGTTGGGGGGGTGTGAACGAAAGTGACCCCAACCGGGAAATCGGTTTCGGTCTCGGTTCGTGTCGTGCGCAGGTGAGGCGAAGCTGCGCGAGTTCCTGCACTGGTCGAGCTACATAGAGCCCGAAGGGCCGCCCTCCCACCCCCCCGGGTGGGCGCGTGTCCCGAGGTTGTCCCGCGGTTGTGCCGTGGTTGTCCCGCGGTTGTCCCGTGGTTGTCCCGTGGTTGTCCCGATGGTTGTCCCGATGGTCGTCCCGATGGTTGTCCCGATGGTCGTCCCCAGTCCCGATGGTTGTCCCGATGGTTGTCCCGATTGTTGTCCCGTTGGGTAGTGGTAGTCCCGATGGTTGTCCCGATGGTTGTCCCGATGGTTGTCCCGATGGTTGTCCCGATGGGTGTCCAGAAGGGTGTCCCAGTGGGTGTCCCGAAGGTTGTCCCAGATAGATGGGTACACAGACGCCATTAGCACCACCACCATCATTCCGAAGACATTTGTACTCAACCGCCTCGCCCTGCAGAGGGCTGTCAGCATCGAGACTTCAACAGAACGTCGCCGTGGAGTGGGCCACGCCAACTCACGGTGCCTGGCTCTGCCAGCGCCCGGCCATACCTTGGCCCACGTCTTGTGAAGCAGCGCTGCTCGTACAGCGTGATCTCCCACTCGTGGTTCGCAGAGCTCAGCCCCGCCCGCGTGATGACGGGCGACCAGCTGTTCCAAACTCTCAAGACAGTTCCGGGCGTGAGGCGCGTCGACAGGAACACGTCGAAGACCTCGCAAGGGAACGTCGGTAAGCACGAGCAGGAACGAACTGGTTGCAAAACACGGCGACCCATATCAGGCCTATCGTGTTCGAGGTGGCTCCGGACCAGGATTCGAAGGACAGGATTTTGCCTTGCACAGTGACGGTGATGTTCAAGGACCCGTCGCAGGACATGGATGCGGAGGAGTGGCGGTTTTCACGTGCAGATGCAAACAAACAAACAGCTGTTGCCAGAGGTCGCGCGCCAGTGCATGATGGGCAGCTTGGCGCGGCTTGGCGGCGCGCCAAGATCTGCCGTCGCATCTGCCTCGCAGGGCGCGGCGCCTGACGCGGGGGGCCGCGCAGGGTGCCCGCGCCGCGGGGGCCTGCCGGAGAGGGCGCGGGCGCGCGCGGCTCTGCCAGCAAGCCGGTGGCACTTGGGGCGGCTGCTCCAGGCTCTGCCAGCCTGGCCCAGGGCGCAGAGACAGCGCCGCCGCCGCGTCCGCTGTGTCCGTGGAGGGTCGCGCCGCCGCCGGCTTCGCGGTCTAAGCTTTGCCCGCCACTCTTCGCTGCGGAGGTAGCGGCGCTGTTTGCTCCGTCGGCTCCGTCGGCTGCGGCTTCGGTTCCGTCGGCTCCCGGGGCGTGCGCCCATGCAGGCGCTGCCCCTCCGGTCTCTGCGCCAGATGCGGGGCCGGCGTCGGTGCGCCCGCCGCCCTCTCTTGAAGATGACGCGGAGGGCGAGCTGGCGGCGGGGGCGGCGCGGAGTGCCCTCGCCCCGCCGGAAGGGCCTGCTAGAGAGGCCGCCGCCGCGCCAAGCTCTGCCAGCAATCCGATGGCAGTGGGGGCCGCGCAGGGTGCCCTCGCCCCGCCGCGAGGGCCTGCAGAAGAGGCCGCGGCCGCGCCGGGCTCTGCCGGCCAGCCGATGGCGCCGGCTCGCAGAGGCGTTTGCCGCCGAGGACTACGTCGAAGAAGCTGTCGCTCGGGGTGGCCCCAACGACGGAGCAGCAGAAGTTGCGGGCTTCAAGAGCGCCGCGGAGTTCGCCGAGGACCTGCAGGGGCCAGTCTCTGACAGCGCTGCGGCGGACGTGCGCGCGGCTGCCGATCGTGCTGCGGCGCTCGCGGACGCGCTGCCGTTGTTCCTGCAACTGGCGCGAGCAGAGTTCAGAGCTGGCCCAGGTGCAGGCCATCAAGCAGCGGGAGGTTGAACGTGCGCGCCATCGTTGTGTCGCGGCTTGCCCGAAGGGCGCGGACACCCAGGCGGTCAAGGCGCCGCCTGCAGGAGGGGGGGGATGAGGAGGGGGGGATTGGGGGCAGGGGGTCGGTGAAGAGGACCATTGTAGGAGATGCCGTTGGCGTCGGAGGGGCTGGGGAGGGTTGCTGGGGAGGCGGGGGGCGGGGGGGGCAGGGGGGGGGCGGGCGGAGGGTGGGCATGATGGCGAGGGCGGGGAAACACAGTAGGAGCTGGGAGGAGTAAGAGTGGGGGGGCGGATGGCGGGGGGCACTCGCGAGGCGTGCTGTCCGGAGCGCGTTTGGAACTCTTCGAGTTCGGGGGCGGCAAAAACCTGTCCGAGTTGGAGTGGTCGCCAGGCTCTGCCAGCGATGGCAATCAGGAGTCCCCGGTCGCTGCCGACGGGCGCAGTTTGTGGGCCGCGAATCGTGAGCGCGGCGAGCAGCGCTTCCGCTCCGCGGAGGGTCGCGCGCGTCTGCTTGTGGGCCTGGTGATGAGAGCGCTCGGGCGAGCTCGTCGAGCTGGATGGCAGGCGCTCGGGCTGGGGGCTGCGCGCAGTGGCGCCGGGCTCTGCCGGCGCCGCGCCCCCTCAGAGAAGCGAGCAGTGTCTCTGCCGTGGCGATGGCGCGCCCGCGGGGAAATTTGACTTCGAATTTGGCTATCGCTGCAGCATTCGAGGCGTCGCGCTCCAAATGGATGGGCAGGTCCTGGGCGCGGCGTCTGGCGTCCGCGCCGGAGATCGAACTGGCGTGCTCAGGTCACCCGCGTGCGCGTCCCATGCCGTGGGGCCGCGGCCTTCGGGTGGCACCGCGCCGGGGTGGCAGTCGATCTGAAGGGGCTCGCGCAGGCCCTTGGAAAGCGCTGCGCGGGGAGGTGGGCGCGTTGCTTCTACCGCGCGCTCCGAATCGCGGCCCTGGAGCGGGCCAAGGCTTCCAGGTCGCCAGGCCTTGCAGCGGCGCTGGCGGCGGGGCGGGGGGCGGGCTCCAGGCGGCGCATTAGCGGGCGCTCCTCGGCTTCAATGAAGATCGGCTCATGAGGGAGCACGCGGCCGCTTTTGCTGTTGAGGTGGAGAACGCGCCTGCTTGCTTCTCTGAGGCCGCTCGCTGCGTCCATGCCCGCGTTCTGCGGGGCGTGCGCCCGCCGCGGCTGGGGCGCCCCGGGGGGGCGTCGCGTTGTCGAAGTGCGCCGGGCCATGTTTCTTGACGTGGGGCGCCGATCTCGCGAGCACTGTGTTCGGCCGACATGTTGTGGGTGAGCTCGTTCGCATCGCAGATGGCATTGGTCCTCTGTTCAGTGGCGTCGTCGCGCGGCCACTGCGCGCGCGCTGCCGTTGCTCCGGTGGGCGCGTGCGCGGCCGCGGCCTCCGTGTCGCACGTCTTCCAGGGAGGGGCGCGGCGCCGGGGGCGCATTTCCCGCGAGCTCGCGGAGCGGATCGGCGGCGTGCCAGTCTCTGAGGGCGCGCCTTCGCGGTCCTGCTTTTGCGCCGTCTCGCCTCGGGGGGGGGGGGGGCTGGGACTATCGTGCGCGGGCGAAGCCCTGTCGCGCGGTCGCGCGCGCCGCCGGGCGCGCGGGGTTGGGGCGCTCCCGCGTGGCCGCTCGCGAAACCCTCCTTCCAGGTCCAGGGGGATTGGTGTGGGGGGGGGTTCAGGACGCCCCCTAGATAGCAGCCCGTCTAACTCACTCCCACCCGCCCTCCCGGCGCATGAGTGACGCCCGGGCCTCGGCTGGTTCAGCGGTCGTACTTGGATGGGCTGCTATTGGGGACCAAAACTGACCAAATGTGCGCGACGCCGGGGCGAGGTGCGCCACGCGTGCCAGGCGCGACACGCGCGCCAGGCGCCCCTGGGGCCCGAGCGTGCTGCCAGGCACGCCTGGTGCGCCAGATGCGCCGCGTGCTCAGCGTGCGCCAGGTGCGCCGCATATTCCAACCGCGCCAGGTGCGCCTTGTTCGGGGCACGCGCAGAGTGTGTCAGGTGCGCCTGCGCACGTGACAGCACACATGGGGAAACATGTCGGCCCCCACCATCCTTGTCGAACAGCAATGCCCATCATTGTGTCTGGTGGGCCTGCGCACAGCAGGCCATGCGCCACCGCCCCCGCCGTCCCTGTCAAAGACCATTCGACAGTGATCGCGAGGTGGCCGCGCACGATCCATATTTAGCCGTGATTTTTTTTGGGGGTGGTGGTGGTAGCCTTGCGCACAGCAGGCAATATGCTGACACCTCCGCCGTCTTTGCCAAAAACAATACAACATGCCCGTGTGCTTCACGAGCGTGATTCCAAACTTTACCCCAAACCGCATTTTGTATGTCTTTTTGGTAGAGATGGTGTGGGGAGGCGCATCGGGTTGGCCGCGCATGCTCCAAATGTGGAGGCGGCGTGCGTTTTGTATATTGGTTTTTTAAGGGATGTGGGGGGGGCCATCATGGTTCCTGGATGGCCGCCAATCGCCTGGGGGTGTGGGGGGTGCATATTCATAAGAACAGTCATAGCCCCTACCCGGCAGGGGAAAGTGAGGGGTTGGAAGAGAAACCACTCTAGACCACCTATGCCCAGAGGGCTGGTGATATGATTCAAAAGCCAGCGGCGACAATTTCGTGCCTGTGGCGCCTAGCCCCCTAGGGCCCACGTTTTGTCGGTGCCACAGCGCCGCGGAGATGACCACCGCCATCGAAGTGTCGGGTTTGGCTAGCTGGGTTTCACCAGCCACCTTCCAGGGACGGCGCTGTTCCCAAACGAAGCTGTCATTGAAGCTGTGTCCGGCTCGATTAATTTGGTGACCATCTTGGGAGACAGGTTTTGGCCCCGTG